TACCTTCTGCATCCATCTTATTCTCGGGCTCTTTCTATAAGAACTCCTCTCAAATGCCAATATCCTTATCTTCGAAACGTGTGTTATCACCCATGTCTCACATCTGTACAACATGCAGTTAAGTACACACATTTGCAAGATACTCAGCTTCATTTCTAAGCTAATTGGTTTACTTTTCCAGATCTTATCGTTCACCTTCGAAGTTCCTCTGGCTTTCGCTATTCTAGTTGCTATTTTCCTCTTATAGTCTAGATCATAAACCATGTTGCTCCGCATATATGTGAACTTCTCATCGTTCTCTAGTTTTATCCCATTTACACTGATCTTCTTTCCTATTTGTTTATCTCTATGAATATTGATAAAATAAGGACAACAGTATTTAATCAGTCCATACCATGTCCCTTCTTCATTCTCACTAGCTTCTCTTCATCTTTCTCTATGGTAACTATATCATCCACAAACTTTGAGCTGTTAATTCTCATCTCATGCACCGATATCCCTTCTACCTCTTCCTTGATCTTGGCCATCGCTCTGTCTAGGTGCGTGATGAAGATACTCGTCAATATTGGATGTCCTTGTCTCATACCTCTATTCATCCACTCCGTAGAACTTCAACACCGCCCAAGTCACTTTCTGATCCATATTGTCAAATGACTTCTGAAAATCGACAAAGTAATTGTAGATGTTCTTGTTCTTTCACCGAGCTTTCTCCACTATTAATCTTAGTGCCAATATCTGCTGTATGGTACTTCTATCTTTCCTGAATACCGCTTGATCATCTGCTAGCTGTTCTTCTATCTGCGATCTCAATCTCGCCATCAGTATCATCAGAGGCACGTTGCCTAGATGACGCGTTAAGGCAATAATTTTGTAGTTCTTGCACTCCATCACACTTCCTTTCTTGTATATTGTCACTAGCACAGGTCTTGTACATTCCTAAGGAGCCTTCTCTTCTTTACACGCTATATTACATAGTCAGTGTATTTCCTGAATCATACTTTCTCCACCATATTTGATCATCTCTTCCATGATCTATCATTTATAGGGCTTTTATTGTTCTTTAGTCGCTCTATTGCAATATGTACAACGTCTACTTTAAAGGGACACTTGTTGAATGATAAGACTGAGCAAGCCGCAACGTTGGTAGCCCACCGCACAGGTATTGAACATCCTAGTGCCTTAAATGGAGAACTCTGCCCCAGGACATAGAGGAGGTCAATGAAATTAGTACCTAGATATTTGGCTCCACATCCATATGCCTCTCTACTGCTGCTGGCTAACTAAAAATGCTGCAAATCAGGGCACCAAACCTACACAGAAGACACAGCACAACCCCAGACAACCCACAGTCCCAGCAAAATAGGCAAAGAATGGGAGGGGAAATAGAATTACAAAGAGGGACCATGACCAGCCCACAGCCTATATCTAGAGTGCAGTGCTTTTACAGAATACCAGAGGTATCCTGGAAAAGCAATGCCGCATCCAAGGAACGCATTTGCTTTTTCCAAATTGTTTTCAAAAGAATGGACGCGCTCTTTTGCCATCCCTGTAAACCTCATTTTATGAGGAATAAAGGATGGCTCCAAAGAGCACTTTAGTTTGCAATTTGGTGCCATGTAGATGCACCCAATTTCGAAAGAGCCTCTTTCAAAAGTAAATTGGAAAGGAGACACAATCTGTGTACCTCATATTGCGTATCTTTTTCCAATTTAACAGTGTAGTCTAGACGGATCCAAAGTCACACAATAGCTTAAAGGGCAATGGGGCTATCATTACTTATAAACATAATACATAGTTAGTTGGGGCACCTGAAAATTTGGGGCACCCGTGGATCTTAGTGTCAGTCCATATGGGTATGTCTACACTACAAAGTTAATTTGAAATAACAGCCGTTAGTTCGAATTAACTTTCATAGGTGCTACACATACAAACCGCTAGTTCGAACTTAATTCGAACTAGCGGAGTGCTTAATTCGAACTAGGTAAACCTCATTCTATGAGGACTAACGCCTAGTTCGAATTAAGTAGTTCGAATTAAGGGCTGTGTAGCCACTTAATTCGAACTAGTGGGAGGCTAGCCCTTCCCAGGTTGCCCTCGTGGCCACTCTGGGCCAAACCAGGAAAACTCTTCTGCCCTCCTTCTGGTCCCGGAGCCCTTAAAGGGTCACAGTCTGGCTACACTGCTTGTGCCAGTTGCAAGCCTGCCACCACCCAGCCAGCAGACCCTGCACCTGGCAAGGGATGAGCCAGCCACCCACTGCCACCCAGCCCTCCCCCTCTTCCCAGGACTAGCCTGGCAGCTCACAGGAGCCTGCCCGGGGCCGCAAGAGGCGGGTGCCCTCCTGGTCTAGTGCGGAGATCGTGGACCTCATCGAGTTTTGGGGGGAAGCCTCCAACGTCCATGATCTCCGCACTAGCCACAGGAACGTGGCCATTTACAGCCGCATTGCTGACAGCCTGGCCACCAGAGGACACATGCGGACCCGGGAGCAGGTCCACTGCAAAATTAAGGACCTGCGGCAGTCCTACTCCAGGGCCTCCCAGCCAGGGACCGACCCAGAGACCTGCCCCCCACTTTGAGGCCCTGGACTGCATCCTGGGGGCTCACGCCGTCCATGCCCCCCGGGTGGTGATCCATCCCGGGGCAGAGGGACCCGTCCCTGATACGGAGGAGGAGAAGGAGGAGGACGCCGAGATCCAGGAGCCTGCAGGGAGCCTGCCCAGGATCCAGGACCCCCAAGGCATCCCACAGAGCACATCGGCTGTGTCGTCTGAGGCCGGGGAGGGCTCCACATGTGAGTGCCATCATGTTCCCCTTATGTGTACGGGGAGAGGGAGCCCAGGGACTGTGCATCTGGGCCTTGCCCACCATGGAGCAGCAGCTGGGTGCCATGTAGGGGCCATGGACCGCTCCCCACATGCCGACCACACCTTGTAGAGGGGGACTGGGTTTCACTCACCGTGTCCCCAGGGAGAATTGACCACAGCTCTTGTTTCACCACAGCTGCAACACCTGGGACTGCAGGGCGCACCACCCCACCTGCAACAGCCACCCGCATCCGGGCCAGCAGGCACCGAACTGTTTCCCAACAGATCGGTAGCTGTCTGGCGTGGAGAGCTTCCACGGGGCGATGACCACACGCTTCTGGAGGGGGATGGTGGGCCTCATGCAAGTGTCCCGTTGCCACAGAGCAGAGGCGAGCCACTCACAAGAGCTCCAGGAAGGTGTCCTTCTTCATCCTGAAGTTCTGGGTCCACTGTTGGTCTCCCCAGCGCTCCAGGATGATGTGGTCCCACCAGTCGCTGCCGGTGTCCAGACACCAGATGCGGCGGGGTACGCTGGCGTCTGGGCACTGCTGCGGCTCCTCCACGGCCCCCGAGGAGGCCAGGTGGAGAGGTAGGGGGCTGACATGCACCATTGCTGGCAGGCTTGCAGCAGCAAG